CCCGGTCCGGTGCGGGGGCGACACTGAGGGTTGTGATCCGTTGCCGGACACGGAAAAAGACAAAAAGGAAAAAAAAAATTATCTTATTTATTTGCTGTAAAAGTGTGTGCCTTGTTCCTACTACATAGTTAAGTCACCTGAGAACAAGTACTGTGAAGGTTTCTGTCCATAATACCTCTTCTTACCACCTGGTAAGGTGATAGATAATCTCTTATTAGAATAATGAATTGCTGATTTCTTAACCCAGGCGGCCTCGAGTATCCTCCACAGAGATGAACAAGAAAATGACTGGCCGAAAACTGATCAGACTGTCTCAGATCAAAGAAAAGATGGCAAGTGAGAATCTGGAAGAAATAGACTGGGTGACGTTCGGGGTTATATTAAGGAAAGTTACCCCACAGAGCACTAACAGCGTAAGCCATTTTGCTGATTTCTTAGCTGCATGATCGTAGAATAGCAGTGGGGACTCAGTGTCCTTAATTTGTTGACGGGACCCTGTCAGCGTTTCATTGTGAAATAACTACTAGTAAGTTCCAAAGTTGCCACACCGTCATTGAGATGGTATCCAAGAGGGATAATATGCAAAGTATGCCCTCCTTAGAGAAGATCTAGTTGCATGGATTGCTTGGGCTTTTCATTGTCCAGATCATCCTTACAGCATTTCACTTGTCACTGTTTTTGGTGATGCATATAGTTGTCCCTATGACACTGTAATCCCTCCTGTGGAGGAACAGCAGGTAATCAGAGAGGCTGAGTTCACAGATCCGTTGGAGATCCCTATGGATGTCAGATGTCAGTTGCAGAAGTTCTGGGTTTGCTGGCCTCTGCCGGCGTGGTGTGGTATATTTAATGTGATGGCTATTACAAAAGATGTAACTGGTTTCAAAATCATAGTTGACAGACACAGTGGGGAAATTACTTGTGGCCTGGGAAGTCAGAAAACCTGGGTTCTAATCCTTGTTTTCTCTGTAGTTCATGGCCTTAGGTTGATCCTTAATCTTTCTTTAAGGGCCTCTATTCCCTTATTTATAAAATGAAGAACTGGCTTTGATTATATTGAAAATCTCTTCTAGCTCTAAAATACCATGAGTAATCGTGCTCAAAACTGATTTTATTCTTTAATTTAGATCTTGGCCAGCCTTAGATTTTTCATGAGATCTGACACCAGGGGCTGAGTTTTAGATCATTGGGTCCTACTCTAGCCCTATTACTGTCAAGGTAAATGTGGACAAGTCTGGTTTCCATTTGATTAAGTTCTTAATTGCTTCCCAAGTGGCTATAATGACATTGAAATAATGGGTGTGAGGTTTTAATCTGTACTCTTCCAAGAAAGGCATTGTACAAATCTACGGAAGGATAATTATACCACTCAGGCAATAGTTCCCCATAACCCAGGCAATAGCTCACCATAACCTAACCATACTCGTCCTGAGATGCCCCTGTGAAATAGCTTGATTCAATATTATTCGAATTATTCTGTTTTGTTAAAAATCTGTAAAAATGGAGGGTATTCACATTATAAGCAGTGAGCATTTTGAGTTGTTTTTCTTCAGATATTTAATCATACCTCTGAAATTTTACAGTTAAACTCAACCAGTTTTCTTTAAATGGTGTTTTTTCTCCTAAGCTAAGCAAAGATTTAGTAGCATAGAGCGAAACCTTTATTATTACTAAAATAATATTTTTAATAATAATATAATTAAGTAGCGATAAATAATAGATTGCTAAGTTGTTTACCTAGTCTCTATTCATAAGTAAGTTATTAAATGGTAGTGTCATGGCTGCTTCTTGTCCTTTTAAAGTGTGTGTCATTAGAAAGGCAGTGCTGTCCTACTGACTGTTTATACCTGAGAATCAGAAGCTCTACTAATAAGTTCACCACTGGTTTACCTTACTTAACCTTCAACTCTAAAATGAAACAGGGAATATAATACTAAATCCTATTGAAAGAATTAATTTATAATCAGCAGACATTCTGATGAATATCTGTTCAGGTTCGATTATACTTATATATTTTTCCACAGTAAAACACTTGAACCGTAAATGGAGACAGTGTAACCCACGGTTCAAAAATTATTAAAAATAGAATAAATATTTGTTTCAGGGAAAAACATTTAGCATCTGGCGGCTCAATGATCTCCATGACCTGACACGGTATGTGTCATTGTTCTTGTTTGGAGAGGTCCACAAAGAGCTCTGGAAGACAGAGCAAGGTACTGTCATAGGCCTACTCAACGCTAACCCCATGAAGCCCAAGGATGGTTCAGAGGAGGTAAGAGTCTGTTTCTGTGTTTTAATTGATTGATTGTCTTTACAAGTTAGCTGAGTTTTGTCAGAAACAATCGTATTAGTCTACCTTCAGAAAATAAGTCATGCTTTTATATTATTTTGTCTCCATTAGTCTGGTTTGTTTATTCTTCGCCCACTAGTATTCTGAATTTTTACCTACTCTAAAGTACTTTGTAACCAACCCACTCTAAAGTATTTTCTAACAATTACTTTCATAGTATCTTTTCAAAATAGTTCTAAGGTTTCTGGAGCTTTTCAACTCTTATGCTCAGATTTCCTTGGATTCCTTACATAAATTTTCATGTGGCATCTAGAAGGCAGCGTTTTATAGTTGAGGAAATTTTTTTTCATTAAATATTACCATCATGGCTGCAATTTAGAATCAGAGTGAATTTTCAGCTTCTCAAGCAATGTCAGAGTTTTTTTTTTTTTTTCTTTTTGTCTTTTTTCGTGTCCGGCAACGGATCGCAACCCTCAGTGTCGCGCCTGTACCGGACCGGGACCGGCAACGGGATCGCAACCCTCGGTGTTGCTCCCACACCTCGCTCAGCCAGTGAGCGGGAACCGGTCTGTATGTGGGATCCGAACCCTCGGCAGGAGCGCCACCGCACTCCCAAGCGGCACACTGTAGCAGTGCGCCACCAGGCTGGCCCCGAAACAGGCAATTTTTCTACTCTGCCTCAGCAAGAAGCTTTACTCTACTGTAGTCAGATTATTATTTTCTTTCTTTTTTTTTTTTTGTCTTTTTCGTGACCGGTAAGGGAATCGCAACCCTTGGCGTGGTGTCGCCCGCACCACACTCAGGCCTCAGCAAGAAGCTTTACTCTACTGTAGTCAGATTATTATTTTCTTTCTTTTTTTTTTTTGTCTTTTTCGTGACCGGTAAGGGAATCGCAACCCTTGGCGTGGTGTCGCCCGCACCACACTCAACCAGTGAGTGCACCGGCCATTCCTATATAGGATCCGAACCCGCGGCGAGAGTGTCGCTATGCTCCCAGCGCCGCACTCTCCCGAGTGCGCCACGGGGCCGGCCCCAGATTATTATTTTCAAGAGTGAGGGAAAAATAGTCATTTCATTTTTTTGCTTTCACCAGAGAATGGCAACAAATCATCTATTGGTTAGGAAGGTGTTTGGCTACAAATGATAGAAAAACTGCTCTGCAATTTCTTTGTAACAATAAATGGCAGAGTTTATTTTTCTTACATAATAAAAATGCAAACACAGGCAGTGTAGTGGTGTCAGCACAGTGTTTCTGTGTGTCTCTCAGCCCTTCACCCTTTGTCCCAGGTGGCTTTGAAGCTCTAGCCATCATTGTAAAGCAGGATACCATGCATTGGTATCAGTTACCAGTCCCTCGGGGAAGGACTCTAAACACCTTACCAATTTCTGTTGAAATTCCTACATCTGGCAGGTTCTCAGGTCCGGCAGGAGGCTTTCCACAAATCCAGCTGCCAGAATATTAGTCCAGTGAGACAGAACACAGACGCAAGTCGGACAAAGCCATTTTATAACTCACAGATAGGCAGCAAAAATCAGCAGAAGCCTAGGATCCACAGTGAGCCAGTCCACCAAGGCTCAGGAGAGCTGCCCAGGGCAGATGGAGTCTCATCTGCATGTGCTCTGCTTGGTACCTGCAGCTGAGGGATTCTGAAAGCCCTGTGCTCTGGGTGTTACCACCCAGGAGCACATGTCCTACAACACTTGAGCTCAGGAGGGGCTCTGGGAGTGGTGAAGACAAAGCCCAGGCTGCTGAGGACATTGCACTCTCAGGACGTTCTGCCCAAGAATTGCAACCATGAAGCAGGAGGCCTGGGTTGGCCAAGGCCACTGGGGGACATGTCCTGGAATCATATTTCTATTCAAGACAGGAAGTGAAGAGGAAGGGCCAGCTAGCCTATTCTGACTCCTCATTTTAGGAAAGCAAAAGCTTCTCCACCGACTCCTGCTTCAGTCTGTTTGGCTAGAACTTAGTCCTGTAACCATTGCTAGCTCTAGGGAATGCTGGGGAAACAGGAAATAGGATTTATTACCTGAGCACTTAGCCAGCCCAGACAAAATCAGGATGCTGATAACAAAGACAAAGGAAAGGATGGATACTAGGAAGAGAACTGAATGTGCCTTCTGCCCTCCCATTTCTGAAGTCTTTTTTATAGAGCACTGCCTTCCAATTCCTTTAGACCAATAAAGCCACTTTAAATCTGCACCAGTCATTCGTTTATCCATTCTTGCTAATAAAAAGCCACAACTTTGTCTGCCTTTAACTCTTACTGCACCTCTTTTTTGTAGGTGTGCTTATCTATTGATCATCCTCAAAAGGTCTTAATTATGGGTGAAGCTCTTGACCTGGGGACCTGTAAAGCGAAGAAGAAGAGTGGAGAGCCGTGTACCCAGACTGTTAATTTGGTTTGTTTCAACCTTGTTAGGATGGTTTCTGCTAAAGAAGAGAACTATTAGAAATAAACTGTAGGTTCTTTAGCTGGAATGACCAATTTGGAACTGAGTTCTCTACTTACCAGGAGAAGTCAAAATGAGAAAATCGAATGTGTGGTTAATAATTGCCAGTTTAAAAAGTTGAGGGCAGAGAGGATTTAACCTCTTAGGAAAGTGATCTTTCGTTGCCCACTGAGGAGGAGGTATAAGAAAGAAAGAACTTTAGCTTACCCTTAATTCTGTGTAGTTCCAAGAGATCAAAGACTAATGATGAAATACACTGAAATCCTTATTTTAGCCTGTACTTTTAACTCCATTATACCTTTTCTTAGAGCTTTTTTTTACTAATAGCTTCATTGAGATACAATCCACATACCATAGAGTTCACCCTTTTAAAGTGTACGATTCAGTAATTTTTAGTATATTCACAGAGTCGTGCAACCATCACCACTATGTAATTCAGAACCCTTTCATTACCCCCAAAAAACCCATATACCCCAAGCCCATTAGCAGTCACTCCTCAGGCTTCTTTCCCCCCAGTCCCTGGTAAGTACCCATCTACATCTATCTCTCTGGATTTGCCTGTTCTAGACACTTTATATAATGGAATCATAATTTGTGGCCTTTTGTGACTAGCTTCTTTCACTTAGCATAATGTTTTTAAGGTTCATCCATGTTGCAGCATTTATCAGCACTCCATTCCTTTTTATGGCAAAATAATATTTCATTATATGGATATATCACATTTTGTTTATCTGTTCATTGGTTGATAGACATTTGAGTTGTTTCCACATTTGACTATTATGAATAATGCTGCTGGAACATTCACGTACAAGTTTTTGTATGGATGTGTTTTCAGTTCCCTTGGGAAAGTATATAACCTGAAAGTGGAATTGGTAGGTCATACAGTAACTCCGTTTAACTTTTGAGGAACTGCCAGACTGATTTTCAAAGAGATTATACCATTTTACATTTCTACCAGCAATGTATAAAGCTTCCAGTTTCTCCATGTCCTTGCCAACACTTGTTAGTGTCTGGTATTTTGATGATGGACATCCTAGTGGGTCTGAAGAGGTACTTAGAGTTCTTTGAAAGGATTAAATGACAGGTTTCGGTTTCATTCCCAAACGAAATTTTTTATTTCCCTCATTTCTTCCTAATAGATAAGCAACTGAGCAGGAAATAGGAAGGAGGCAGATAGTTGGAAAAAGAGGTCTTAAAATGAATTGTCTGACAGATCTCCAAAGAGTGAGGTCATTTGAAATCCTTTGTCATCATATCTAAGGGCTATATTGTTTCTCTTTGTTTCTTTCACTAAAACGATAGCATTTGTACAAGGGTTGACCAGAGAAATAGCTGGTGAAACCTCACTAGAAGCTGATTTTGTTTTATTTTTTGAATTATTTTTTACTGAGGTAAAATTCACATACATTCAATTAACCATTTTTAGAAGTGTACAGTTCAGTGGTACTTAGGTGTGCAACCACAAGCTCTCTCTAGTTTTAAAATTTTACATCACTCCTAAAAGCACCCCATACCAGTCACATTATCACTCCCAGCTCTGCTGCCTCCATCCCCTGGTGACCCCTGAGCTGCTTTCTGTCTCCGGATTTGCTTATTCTAGATATATCATATAAAAGGAATCATACAGTATATGACCCTTGTGTCTGACTTCTTTCTCTGAACATGTTTTCAGGGTTCATCCTACACACTGATTTTATTTTCATCGTAGAAAGAGGGCAGAGGGGCTGAATTACATCTCTTTTTCTTTTACCAGGCTAGTGCTTAAAGTGAAATTTTAGGGAAGAACTTCCTCCCCTCCGCACTGAATTGCTCTTCCGCTTTGGGAATGGGCTGGGATGTCCGCAGGGAGGACTGTGCTTGCAGAACAGCATTCCACGTTAGGGAAGAACTTCCTCCCCTCCGCACTGAATTGCTCTTCCGCTTTGGGAATGGGCTGGGAGGTCCGCAGGGAGGACTGTGCTTGCAGAACAGCATTCCACAAAGCTGAAAGGAACTGAATGTGTCCCCCATTGTGATTCCCCGGTTTGTAGCCCTCATCCTGAGGCAGCTGCTCTTCCTTTTGCAGAACGACTGTGAGTACTGTCAGTACCACATCCAGGCTCAGTACAAGAAGCTCAGTGCAAAACGAGCTGACTTGCAGTCCACCTTCTCCGGAGGACGTATTCCCAAGAAGTTTGCCCGCAAAGGCGCTGGCCTAAAAGAACGGCTGTGTCAAGATGGTTTTTACTATGGAGGGGTTTCTTCTGCAGCATATGCGGCCTCAATGTGAGACATTCTCTGGGCTTCTTTTGGGACAAGCATTTGGCTTGTCTCATGAGACTAAACCCATTGGTTGTACTTTTCTGTAACTGTCATAGGATACTTGTACAGGTTTTATCTTTCATAACTGACTGCCTATAACAAGGTAGATAAGGACCTCTTCTATTCCCAAGTAGAGAGGAAAACACACAGAAGAGAGAGAGATTGAGGCATGTTGTGATGGTCTTTAATGCAGAGTCCACGCTTCCTCTTTGACTTCTAACATGAATGGTACGGCTTGGTCAGGGCTAATTTTATGGCTGTTAAGATAAGAGTGTGTTAATCATAGCATTAACATCCTTTGAATCATTTCCCTCACAACCGTTTAGTGAGGTTGCAGACCTCTTAGGACCCAAATTTTAATTCAGTCAATGGACGTGCAATGAACCTCATGTAGGAAGTGAGGTGTTGCAGGGTGCACACTCATGGCCCCTCTTCTGGGGATCTTGGCCTCTCCCTAGAGTCTGTCAAGTAGATGATTGATGGCCTTGTCACCATAGTGTAGGAAGCACGTCTGACAATGTGACACATGGGGACTTGGCACAAGGGAGCTACAGTTGGTCCAAGAACAAAACATAGATGTTGTTCCCAGTCCAACAAGAATTGGGCAAGACGACTCAGACTTTGTAATATCAACCATGTTTTGAAGATTTAAAATCATTTCTGAGTTTTTCCAAACTGCTCAAAGCAATACATGTACATTATTTTTTTTTTTTTCCCTTTTTGTCTTTTTTCGTGACCAGCAACGGATCGCAACCCTCAGTGTCGCGCCCGGACCG